ACCATAATAAGCAACTAGAATTAATCCTCCAGACAAGTAATCTTCCCTTATGGGCTTGTTAGTTGCACTCTATACATGTGTCTAAGCAGGATCCTTGAATTACCACATCACTTTCATTGACGGAGGATGTTTTGTCAGGTTCAATATGATACAAGTGGCTTTTTGGAGAAGAACAGGGATCCTCTTCCTTCTGATTCTGTCGAACTCCTCTCATCTTGCAGTTGTCAATTGCCTCACTTATTTGCCTCGAGAGTACTTGAGCATTCGACAAAATCAGTAAGTCCATTAAATCACGGTGCAATGGAGTCTCAGAAGCAAAGTGTTGGTACAAAATTCAAGGTAAGCAAACTGTTGTGCAGACACATGTATCCTGATATAGTGATATAAATATCATAGGAAGCTATAATCTAGTGATATATGTGTGTGCGTGTGCGTAAAATAGGAGTTGGCTATTTCTATTACTTTGAAGTGAAGGGAAGTCTTTCTTGTTCTCTGTATTTCTATTTAGTTTGCTAAATTATCTGGGTCTATGCTATCTGAGGCAAGGTTGTAATTTTCATGTCATGGCCTTGTCTTCTCTCTTAGATTTACATAGATGTGAATTTCAGGTGTGTTAGTATAATCAACACTAATAACTGCCTAATCTTGAGGCTTTTAACGTGCTCTTCGATGGATTGATTCTAATCAGAGTTTTTTTCCCCTTATAGGGTCAGGTTTTCAAACTAATGCATCAGTTGGAAAGGACAAAGCCTCACTTTATCCGTTGCATCAAGCCAAATAGTAAGCAGCTTCCTGGTCTTTGTGAAAAGGATCTTGTCTTGCAACAGCTCAGGTGTTGTGGAGTCCTTGAAGTTGTCAGGATTTCCAGATCTGGATATCCCACTCGAATGACTCATCAAGAGTTTGCAGAAAGGTAACCTTTCTCATTTCTTTCTTTCTTTTTCTTTATGAAAAGGACCTTGTCTTGCAACAGCTCAGCTGTTGATTTCTCACTCTTTGTTTCCTTTTTATTCATAGTACCTTGTGTAATTTTCCTGGTCTCTGTGGCTTTTGTTTTAGGTACGGGTTTCTGCTTTTGGACGCTAGTGTATCGAGGGATCCCTTGAGTGTATCTGTTGCTGTCTTGCAACAATTTAATGTCCGTCCGGAAATGTACCAAGTTGGTTACACAAAACTGTATCTGCGAACAGGGCAGGTTAGTTCTGAAGTAAGCCTGGAATGTTTTTTATTATGCTAGTCCACCGCATCTAATCTCGAGAGATGATGCTTCTATAAGATTTCCATTAAATGGTATAAGAGAGAAATGAATTTGAAAAGAGATCTTCTATCTCTATCATCGTTGGTTGCTGCTGCTTATTGACTGCACAAAGAAGCAATGGCAGTTTAGCATTGTAGTTATGTGGACATTTTGGGTGGGATTTGTGTTTTTAGTCCGGTGCAGGTCTACTTTAGAAAATAAAAGCCTAAAGAAATGGGCTAAAGGGGAGTGATCCTTTTCTTAAGTCCGGATTTCGTCTTTCCCTGAAAATGGAGACTGTCAACTTAACTGATTGTTGTTTTTTTTCCACCTGTTATGTGTATGTTAAATAGTCACCAAAAAATAATTTAGGAATGGCACGATTCCACGCAGTATGTCATTATCATCTTTGAGGTACTTCAAAGTTGTTTGTTTTATTCTATTGTAAAAATAAAAGCTGCTCAAAGGGGAATGTTTCTTTTTCTTTTCCCATTTTTGAGTCTAACTTGTTGAGTTCCAGTTTAGCAATGACAGTGTTCTTTTTTTCATGTCGATATTCTCTTCTTGACTTTTCTGACGTTAAGTTCTTGTGACTCACAGATCGCTGCATTGGAGGGCAGGAGGAAACAAATTCTGCAAGGCATAGTTGGGGTTCAAAAATGTTTCCGTCGTTACCTAGCTCGTCATCAGTTCTATGAACTCAAGAATGGAGTGACTACTTTGCAATCATGTATGCTTGCTTGTTTCTGTGATTTTCAAATTTCAGGTCGATATTCTGTTGGTTGCATTGGGTTCGTCTACAGCATTACAGGCGACAGCTTGCATTTAACTTGCTTGAGTCGATTCTCTCTCTCTCTCTCTCTCTCTCTCTCTCTCTCTCTCATGGAGCATGTTTTGTGCAGTTGTTCGCGGTGAAGTTACTCGAAGAGAATATGGCACCTTGCGGGATAGCTGTTTAGATGGTGCTTCCATGTTAGGGACCGATGAGGAACAGAGGGCAATTATAGGTTTACAGTCTGGTAAGTCTATGCTTTTGACGATTAAACACTAGGCCAGATTCGTCCTCTGACACTAAATTGTCTTACAGTAATCCGTGGGTGGTTGGTTCGGAGAAAGTTCAATGATTTGCTCAAGATGAAAAGGTCAAGTCTGGAGAATACAAAGTCGTCATATAAGTCGGGCAGGAGATTTTCTGGAGTGAAGGTACTGTGAGAATTATCTTTCATGGAAAGAAAACCACGTTAGCTGACTTAGAGAGTGCATATGAATTTGGAGATTCCTTGCAGGTGAAAGTTCTGAATTTTAATTGCATCTACAATGAACTTAAAGGTACTTCTTCTTGGCAGGACAAGCCACAAAAACGGGAGGAGAAGCCTCAAAAGCAGATTGAGGTCATGCCAGCGGTGTTGGCAGAGCTTCAGAGACGGGCTCTAAAGGCAGAAGCAACACTGAAGCAGAAGGAAGAGGAAAATGTTGCACTGAGGGAGGAACTACAGCAATTTGAGACTAAATGGTCTGACTATGAGGCAAGGATGAAATCAATGGAGGAAACATGGCAAAAACAGATGGCATCATTGCAAGTGAGTATGCAAGTTTTCGGGTGATTTTACTTAAATGTATGTACAGGGTCAATCATCTGAGAGTAAACTCCTGCTTGGAGTGAATATCTCAATCTTGATTTGAATGCTCACATTTCTTAAAGAGGGTTGCATGATATGGTGCAGATGAGTCTAGCAGCTGCCAGGAAGAGTCTTATGACGGATGATAATGGAGGTCAACCCAGAAGACCCGATGTTGCCTTATCGCCTCGGGATTATGATTCCGAGGATACCACGTCCATGGGCTCTCGAACTCCTGGTGGAACCGTGCCTGTGAAATTTTCGAATGCCACTACAGATGGCAGAGCAGGGAGGGACACTAATGGAACCTTGAATGCCGTCAGTGATCTTATGAAGGAGTTTGAGATCCGGAAACAGACATTTGACGATGATGCCAGATCACTCGTTGAGGTCAGGTCGGAGTTGACTTCCAATACAAGTCCTGATCAAGAACTTAGAAAACTGAAAGTTCGGTTTGAGTCTTGGAAGAAAGAATACAAGGTGAGGTTACGAGAGACTAAAGCGAGGCTGCGGAAACTTGGGCACTTTGATGCTGACAAAGGTCGTCGAAAATGGTGGGGAAGATGAGACGGGGATGCTAGGATCCATGTAATTTTGCTCGAAGTGATTCTCTGGTGGTCGGCGTAAGGCCAAGCTGAAATTCGAGAATTTGGAGAGGGGCTGAGTGGCTCTCCCAATTTCAGCGGCGGGGGACACCTAGTTTAGATTTAGTAGTGTCAGCTTGGTGAAGCGAGAGAGATGTGTTTATATCAAATCTGCCAATTTTGTCGCTTGGTAGTGAAGTTGAATGTGTATAGCTAGATACAAGTTTATAGAGACCTAAGAGACTTTTTAAAGCTTTTTCCTTTTACCCCCTTTGTAGGTGTATATTCTCCAATCTGTTATCCGTACTTGTGTATTCCCTCACATGAATTAGCAAATGTTCATACAGCTTTCCATTAAATTCTTGTCCTGTTTTCTTTTGACCTCATCCTACATTAAGAGTTTCTTCAATCTGAGTTGAAAGTAGTGTAATGATCCGACCTAGCTGTTGTCCTCTGCCATAAGGTCTTTTCATTTCTTGAATTTTCATGGGAGAGAAGGTTTGACATTACTGAGAAAATGAAGCTCCATCTGAATCTTATGAAAACAAGTTTTCTATTAGCCCCATTCATGCTTCTTTTAGTACCTTCTTGTCATATTTTGCTGGGGGAATTACATTTTGCCCCCCCAAGTTTTTAGGATCGTGGCAAGTTGCCCTCTGACATGTAATTTTTGCAATTCGACCCTGACTTTTTGAAATTTTTTGGCCATGTGCCCCTTAGCATTTACTCCGGCTAAATTGTCTCGCGTATTGTGAGAAAATAATTAGTCGATAGTATAAAATGGAAGGAAGAAGGCCGTTCACTATCTATATATTTATATTTAAATATCATATATCGATGTACATTGGACTTTGACTCCGATCAAATACTTGTGGAAATCCGAGTCGCATGCTTCCACACGTAATATACTTCCGAATTATTATTCCACTTTTTTATATGTACATACTTTTATGACAAATTTGTTTTTTGTAATTAGTCATGTGGTTGGAGCTCCAAGCAAATATTCGGTCAGAGTCAATGCCGAGGTAGACATCGCAACTGATTTTTGGTAATTACGGGCCTCATTGAGAAAATCACAACAACTAAAAACTTGGGGCCAAATGCAATATGCTCTATTTTGCCGGGGTTGATTTATAGTGAAGTTTGGTCCGAACAAATGTTCTCTAAATAAAAATCCAATAGTCTCCTTGCTATAAACTTAGCATGTCTCGATAATTTTTCTTATTGTTTGCTTCTTGCTCAATCTAAATCTTGCGGTGGACACATTTTTACATTTTCTTGGATTATCATAACGGCAACATGGCGTATTCGTAGATATCCTTTTCACAATTTTTTTAGAATTTGTATCATGTCTTGGATTTCGACGAGAAAATAAAAAAAGTTGCTTTTTCAGAAAACTTGAACAAACGGAGCCAATCTCAGGAGGAAAAAAAGGGTTTAAAAAAGGGGAAGCAAAAGTTGCAATCCGTACCGTGAAAAAGTCACGAAAACGAAACGGGAAAATCACATATAACAAAGGTTAACGTTCCGCAGCCTTCATCCGACGTCGTCGCCGCTGCAACGCCTAGTAGCAGCAGTAGTAAAAAGAGCTCAATCTTAAAAGAGGGAAGGGGAAGAAGGCCAATGGAGAATCCAAACCCCCTCGTTCCGTGAACGGCCGAATGCTTCCTTCTCGCGCTTCTCGAAAGGTCCGATGCGAAGCGATGATCCGCGGCGACGTCGGCGATCGCTGGTCCTTCCTGGTAATGCGCCCCTCGCTACATCCTCTCTCTCTCTCTTCAGGTCTCGTCGGTTCATGCACGTTAGATCAGCGTTCCTGTGGTTCTTCGTCGCTCGTTTTGTGTTGCGGCGGTGATGGCCGGTCGTTGTTTGGTTATGGTGTTCGCGGTAGAGCGCGATTCGGATTGTGCCGGGCTCGGGCTGCAGTTGGTTCCGCAGTTACGGCAGCGCGAATGGCCCGCATTTTGTGGTGGTTAGTGATCGTTGTGCGCGAGTGTCGTGATGTGCGCATTGTTTTGGGGCGGTGCCGAGATATCTGCGTGACTTGTGTTGGCTCGTTTTGGTGATGCGAGTTTGTGGTTGGTTTGAGGACGACAGGTTTCGGATGCTTTGTTATTATGGCTGCCTCGTTTGAATGATGACTTTGTGGAATTGGTATTGCGGTCGAATGATGATGAACGATTCCGAAGGTTTTTACTCCCAGCTGTGCATGGCATTTTTGCCATCATCTGTATGGCTTGGAACAGAAGAGATGTCTGGTAGCCGAAAGAAAGAAGTAAACGGGAATATGTCGTGCTATGTCGTGAGATAAACCATCGGAGCTTGAGTAATCCGAGTCGAATTAGGAATTTCTGTGTATGTCTCTCCTGATTTTGTCCACCCGGCTGGCAATGTGGTGATAAAGGGGGTGGGATACTCGTTAGCCTGCATGCATTCTGCTATTTGAGATGATTGGTCTCATTGGTTTGTGACTTGCGGGCCTCTTTTTACGTTTCTGCAGGAAGAAATTGAGGCACCCATGTGGGTGGATCTCACGATAGAAGTTAGCAATAATGACCAAGAAAGGTGATTAGTGCAACATCAGTCCTGATGTTAAAGATTAGAGAGGTTCTGTTATATACAAGATCCAGGATCTCGCTACTAAAACTTCTTTTGCTATTGCAGGGCTGATGAATGGTTCAGTGAAAGTCACCCGTAAGATCATCTGTTTGCCTATTGTTTCATTCTGTCAAAGTTCCACGATAGGAAATATATTTTGTTGTTCAAATTTGGTTTACTCAAATAATCTGTTCAGGTTCCACCAATATTCCTCTCGCCAATTAAAATCTACTTTCTCTCATATTTCTGAGGAAAATGGGAGCTCAGACTTTTACCTTCACGGACCCTTTTCACCGAAGCTTCCGTCCTCAGTGTCCAAATCTAGAGGTAAAGACTACAGGGGCAAGAAATGGGAGCAACATAAGTCTGATCCTTCAGTTCATCAGAGTCATCCGGTAAAAGTTCCAAGTGCAACATCTTCATGTTCCAAACAGTGTTCCCATCTGCAAAGCAAACCAAATTTGAGGTTGGTTAACTTGAGAGGACCCTCTGGCTTGAAGAAGAATTCAATAACAGAAATGAATTCTGCCAGAAATGGCAGCAGGCTTTCTTCGAAACCCACACTCCTTGGCTCTACATCAAACAGCACAAGTCAAACAAAGCAGAAAAGTGGCATTTCATTTGAGAGCCTTCAGCAACAAGAAAAAAAGGTTCTTCATGTTTCTGGGCAAGCTTTTGGTAATTCAAATGGGCTTTCTTCAATTATTAGAATGGGCCTCAGGAAGAGTTGTGTTACAAGACAAGCATCAAGGGTGGAGATTAATGGTGATACGGTTCATAGAAGTGGTCATAAATCTTCTGGAAAGTCCAGTGTGGGTTCATCTTCACACCCCTTGTCTGGTGCTAATCACTTGACATCGAGTCCAATTGAGGACAGGGAGATTACTCCAAATAGCAGACACCCAGCGAGTACATCTCAAGCACTTGTGAATAAAAAGGAGAGAGTGGTCTCTGGTGTCTCAAATACTATATCTAATACATATAGGAGGGGTAAAAGCCACCTTGCAAAACCAGGCTGCCCAGAAGTTGCAAAACCTAAGGCGAGTAACTTTACAAAAATCGCTATGTAATATTCTCTGATGTTCTTTTTCCACGAGGAGCACGATTCTTTTGCAGATAAATTTGAAATGGTCTGGTGAGCTGGACATTGGTGCCTATTTCAAATCTCTGCAGATACTTGGCCTTTTCAGTTTACTGTTTTTCCTCAATCTTCTCTCCAGCATCAAGATTACCCGTCTCAAATGGTGGCTAGACTTAGCTTATGTGTAGTTCGGATATTGACCTATCTTTCAGTGTTCATATTTCGTATTGTATACTTGTTGCTTTTGGTGCAATTAAATGACTTGGAGGTATTATAGGTACAGCGTCCAAATTGTTGTTCAAAGGCTTCACTGCCTCTTCGAGTTAATGCACCAAACTCTTTCGCCAATGAAAAGCCTAAGGAAATGCTAGAGGTTTCAAGGCTCAATAAATCTGTGTCCAAAGAAAAAGAAAATTTGAGGAGGTTGCCTGAGGGTCAGACTAATGGCAACGCAGGCAGGTTTCAGAAAGGGATAACACGGAACGTGTCACAAAAGGATGATTGCAGAGTATTAGTTGGTTTGAAGGTATGTCATGTCGACAATTTCGTTCCTTTCATGTTAGTTTTTTAAAATTATCTCCTGATGATTAAGTCTGCATCCTTGTAAATAAATTCTTCTGTTAGTGTCCATCTTTCAATTTGATCATATTACCATATAATAAGGAGTTGCATTGCGCATCATCCCGTGTCTTTTCTGTCTGTTGCTTTGCTTTTACAGCTTTGAAATGGTGGCCCGAATATAATCTTGTTATTTGCAAATGTATCTTTTCCAGTGCCACACTTTCATTGAGACAGTAAACATGCAAAGCTTGAAGAGATTACAATGCATATGATATGTTCCATAATACTTGCAGTTGCTCATCTTTCAGATATGCTTTCCCTGATTTTTTTCTCTATCCTTTATGTCATTTGGCATGTGGTTTCTCAAATTCTGCAGCTTGGAAATGTCAGTGGAATTGAAGGAAAAGCTATCGAGAACGTTTCTCAGAAGGATCTACTTTCAATGAGATGATGGTACCTGAATGCATTTTTGGTAATTTGGCCCCTTCTCTGTTTTTTGACTGGGCATTAACTTTTGGTTATTTTGTCCCCTTCGTGGGTCAACCAGTTAAAACTCTTCTACCACCATTGTCCTGTGTCACCAGCCTCTCTGGCTAATCCTGAATATATTGTTTTTCCTCAGAAAAGTTGGTTCTTTTGCACCACCATATCATGGTGAACTAATGATTTAGTTTTTGAAACACCCCCATAATTTAGGAGGCTGAGTGATTATACATGTTATAGATCTTAAGTGAAGCTTGTCTTTGTAGGAACAATTCAGCCCCCAGCTTCTAAGACACGTGACATGAACATTGACATGCAAATTCACACGCATACATATAGAAAAAGTGTGTATGAAGTTTGATTTACTTGTCACTATGTAACAAGTGATGCACTTGGTTCCTCATTCTGATTGTGTCTGGATTTGTAAAAGCCCAGTACCTGATGGACTTAAGCAGTAGATCGGGCCCAATGTTCACATGAAAATGAGCTACAAGTTTCTTCTTCCACTTTGCTTTTTTCTGAAATAGTCTTTCATTGCTTTTCCAAGTTCAAGTGACTCAGTGAGTCCAGTTTATGGGGTCCCGAAATGCGACCAACTATAATAATTCATTTCTTTGTGGGGGCATGTCCTTCATTGCTTTTCCAAGTTCAAGTGACTCAGTGAGTCCAGTTTATGGTGTCCCGAAATGCGACCAACTATAATAATTCATTTCTTTGTGGGGGCATGTCCAGATTCCTTGTGCAAGTGGTTATGAAGTGGTATTATTAATTCTTGGGTTGAAGCTCACAGCATGTTTAACATGCATCACTTAGTACCTTAGGATACTGATGGTGATAGCAGGAAATTGCTTTAAGTAAGACTATCTAGCTAGAATCCTAGATCCGCCATTTTCCCTCCTGTTTGGACTATATTCGTTAGCTTTAGCAAATTGCCCTGACATCTTTTCTTTAATCACCTAGGGGTTTAGGATTAGAGAAAGAGCTTTCTAGTGGAACGTGAAGTTTCTCCATGTGTGTTTCTTTCGTCCCATTTTTGGTTTTCTCCTGGCAACTTCCACATGACTGTGTAATTGGAAACCAGTCCTGCAATCATTACCACATGTAGTGCCAAAACAACTTTGGACTACATGCCACTTTTTGCCAAAACAACTTTGGACTACATGCCACTTTTTGGCAAATCTATTTCTTCAAAGATTTGAAGAAAGATTTCCTTTTGCTTTTTGGTTGAGCAGAAAATGAATCCAAAAGAAAGGTTTTGTGATCTTGAAGAAATAAGATTCCTAGTAGGACACGTTGTCTTGCTACTTACGGAAAAATTGACAGCTCTCTTAGCGAGAGACTTGAAGATAATGCTTGACGATACCAAAGGTTTGAGGGAATAATTCGGCTTTTCCAGGAAATTACCAATGTAGATGCAGCCAAAGTTGCAGTGGCTATGTACAAGAATGAAAACTCCAAGCTAGCTTTCTTCCGTGGTGCTGCATGCTATAATCCTTTTCTGACGATTGTACATGGTATCTTTGATGTTCATTTTGCCGTAGTCGCACTCACTGGGGAAACAGCGCATCAGAATAATCACCGTTGGATTACTGGCTTTGCACAAATCACTTGACCATAGTCAGACAGCAGTGACATCATTTGTCCCATGTATCATTTGTTTCGAGTGTCAATGCTCACAGATATCAACTCTAGAATAGCATCTTGTGATAAAATCATTGATCTTTGTCCAACACGCAGCAGATGAATGAGTTACGAGCCCCTAGAGGATCAAAGATGACAAATCAAGATTGATCTAGCCGGTTATTGTTGATCCTTCTCTCCACTGGATGTGGGCAATCAGACCAGTCACCACTTTGAGAAATGAAGAATACTGAATTCATATTGACGAGACCTATGTATGACGCACGGAATCAGGTTTCACCGTTTAGGAAATTATGTCAAGTTCATCGCAATTTGGTGATGCTGACAACTCTCGTTAGGACTGCCAGCTTAGTAGATGTGACATGCGATATAGTTTTCATTCAGAAAAGAACCTCGATAATGTTGAAGCAGCGAAACGCCATCATCTTCCCTTGGTGGCTCTTAACCCTCGACAGCTGACATTTCGCATTGTTAATTTGTGGATGTGAAGGAAGTAGATTCAGAGGACACGATGATGCAGAAGGAAGATGGTTCACTCATTGTTTTGTTGGTTCATGTGTGACATTGCATTTGCTTGTGACTCTAGTCGAGAATGATAATACGTATCCCAGCATTTCCATAACGGCGAACTACACAGAAAAATGATGTATTGGGACCTATGGGAAAAATGATTGTGGCCTGAAACGCCATTTCTTCAGCTTTCGCAGCAGTCGTCCATCGACTCAAGCTTGAGCTAAAAAATTATGGAAACCGCGTCTATAGATCGAGTGCACAACTCTTCGACATCAACTAGCTATGGAAATGGATCTTCAGAAATCGTGTAGACCTCATACATTTCTCCCACACCATCCTGGTCCTACACCAGAAATTCAATTATACAAGGTCAATTACGATCCCCCTTCTCCGGTTGAACCTGTCTTCACCCTGGATAAGTTTTTTTCATCATGGACCCATTGCTTTTACGCATTCTTGTACCATGAATCTTCTTCACGTGGGGGGGCTTTCTGCCTTTCTGGCACTTGGTCTGGGGGACACAGTCACGAGCCCTTACGAATAAGGCCGAAGGAGTCCGGAGGGTCCATAAGGAGTTGTCAAGGCCCCCTTCTCGACGGTGGACCACAGTCATAAGAAAAAGAGAAAAAAAACGTACAAAGAAAGTCTCTCAGGGAGGAGGAGAGATATTTGCGTCTCTACGCTGTCTCGAACGTCTGAACAGAACAATTCAGCCACGAAAAGACAAGCCTTCTGAAATTAAAAAGCGTTGGATCTTTGTACCTTCGTAGGCCAAACCGGGAATGTTTTCACTCACGGTTTGGATTAGCCTCTTTATTTCTTAATGATGAGATTAACATCTGTTGCTTTTCGGTGTTTTTTCCCCTTCGTGCTTCGTTGGGACAAGCCCCCACTTTATTCATGTCGGGTTTCAAAACTGCAAAGAATCGATCACATGAAGCTACCCCGTCAATTCCTTTTTCCCTCTCCCTACAGACTAGAACGTTCAGCATCGTTTCACCATCCCCCCACCAATAATTTCAGATTCTTACATTCTCTTTGAAGGTTTATGTTGCGGGTGAGTGAAAGTTTCGTAGCGAGTATTTTCATCATCAAGCAGATGACTTGCCAGATGGATCTAATGTAACACCCATCTCTCCTTTTACTTCATGAGCCACGATCGTTAAAACGAAATCCGGGCAACGTTTTGGTGTCGACGTAGCTTAATCAAATTAGGATTTTGTTCTGAAAGCAACTGCCACAAAATGCCAATGTGGGTGTAAGCACTCCACGTCTTTATGTATGCTCTCTTCCTTTGGTTGCATGTTCTTTCTCTGATCACATCCCCCCCAATGAACAGTATGCAGTCATGCATGGAGCATTAATTGCACAACCGATATAAACGACAAGTGAAGATTAATGCGATCGGCCCAAGATCGAGATCGATGTTGTGTGTGTGTGTGTGTGTGTGTGTGTGGATATGCTTGCGTATGGGGCAAGATGTTGTTTCAAGTGGCAAAAGAGACTCCAGAGGTCACAGTCGAGAGGGGTTCGAAGAGAGAAGATTGATGAGAATTGAGAAGAGGGTTGGTGCCATTTGATATAATTGATTCATCATTGATGAACAAACCAACAAAAAGGAAGGAAGCTGCATGGAACCTGTGTTTTTCGAACTTATTTGCGAATCGTGCCCTCTTCCCACGTTCCTTTCCCTTACCTTCTCTCTCTAGTTCATGAGTGTGGGAACAGGACTTTTGACCGTGAGAACTTAAAGATTTTAATTTATTCAATCAATTGAATACTCATGATTTTAAAGAAAAAAGTGACAATCAAGTTCCAAAACTCGCCATCGGTGATATTTAGATGTCGGGAATGACACGTGACAAATGATTATATATTTCGCGTGAGAGCCACATCGGGTTTTCAACACGTAAATTTCACTAACAACGAGATCGAGATCTGCTTGAGGCTTTTTTTAAAAGCTTAAGCCCTCAATTGACCCAAATAAAACCTTTTAAAATCTCAATTGACTGACGGCCAAAATCTTAAATCTCGTTTCCACACATACCCCCACACATTAAAAAACAATGCCATTACCAGGCAAGGAGGACGGGTTTTCCATGTTGTGCTTCACTAAGGCAGTGGTTACATCAACACGTGATAACTAATTGGATCGTGGTTTCCTCCATCCTCAATTCCAATCACGTTGCTGATTGATGGGCTGCAGATATTGACATAAATTTAACTAAAACTGAATGTTGGTGTTATTCATTTTTTAACTCATCGATAGAAAAACTGGATAGAAGATGGAACGGAGGGAAGCATGGCATATGAGAACTTTTTGTACCCACGGGTTTTAGATAAGTGGTCTGGGACTAGGGGTGACTGGTTCAAAGTTCCATCCATATTTTACTTAGAACTTGGAATCTACCCGTTGGAACAGATTTCCTAATTGTTGGAACCTGCAGTCTACCCTATATACCTAGGAACCTGAAACTTACCCTGTCACGGGTTCCAAGATCTGCTCAGGTTCAACTTGTACTCTTAATTGAATGATTGCAGTGAATCATCACCTCTAATGACAATCATTTGTTATAATTCACTGATTACAACTCATATTTAGATACACGAAAAAAGCTAGTGGTTTTAGATTACACATTTATCATTGGACATTATGAAATGCTGCAAGATTGCGCGAAAACATAGAATAAGAAAAAACACAAAAACTTGTTCCAAGTTCCCTGATTTTTGGAATTTGGAACTTACCCTCTTGAAAACCAATCCAATTCTCAGCTTCCCAGTCTACCCTGGAACCATGCTCAAACCTATTTAGGACTATTAAGTTCTTTTTGGTTCTCGCTCCATATAAACACACCTATATATTTCCTCCAGAGAGAAACTAGTTTTTAATTTTATTCATTAAGTGATTCGGAAATTTTGGATTGGGTGCTTAGTTTACAAATCACCTTTTGTTTTTCCTTCAAATTTTTTACAAAAGGGAATGTTTAAAACTATAATAAAAATTAAGAACGCAAATGACTTTATGTGTCAGTATTCTTATGTCAT